GCTGGTATTTTAAGTACCAGCAACACAGGACCTTGCCCACTAACAGAAACTGTATATCAAGAAATCTCATTAAAAAGACAATGGAAATTGTAGATGGAAACAAGTCTGAAGATTTGTCTTAGTCCTGAATCACCTCCTTGTAACCATCTGTCTTCACTGATAGTAGCCTCAGTTTAATAAAGGTCATGAACTTCTAAATTTTAAATTTACAAATACCTTTCAGAAATTATACCCTCATGTACACAAAGCAAATTGATACTGAAACAGGAAACACTTCAGAAAGTGTCCAACTTTCTGCACTGTAGAGAGAGCCTTAGGAGTCAGTCTGCAAAGCTGGCCTCAAGTCCTACTCACTGAACATGAAGGAAACCTTAGGCAAGTCATTTCACCTTTCTAGTCTTGATTTATAAGAGGAGAGGGTTGGACCACATGCTCTCTAAGGTCACTCTCAACTCTATATATCCTATAGAGTATATAACACTCTAGACCTTAACTATCACAATTTCTCTCAGATTAAAAATTGGAAGTGACCTAGAAATCTCCTAGTCCAACCCTCTCATTTTATAGATGAAGAAATCGAAGACTGGAAAGGTAAAATGACTCACCTTTTGAGCCTGTGCCATTTGGTAAACCCTACAATTGTTACAGGTGCAATGGCTAAAAAACGTTCATGGCAAATCCCTGTATATTCTGACTTACTAAGTAAATTAATAGAATATTTACATATCTGAGAATTTTTCTGCAATTTCACCTTTACTTGAATAATGATTCATATTTTAAGAATCAATGTCTTAATATCTGAAGATATAAGCAGTAAAGTCTCATTACTGGGGAGCTGTTTTAGCAACTAGAAAATACTGCCATAAACATACAAAAAATTCTGAATAACTATCAGCATATATAATTATAATTTCAGAGAATTCACAATACTCATCTTTCTCAACAAACTAAAATAAATTTATCTAAGAAAATCTATCAAGAAATCACCAAAACGAGAAAACTGTAAGCACAGACAAATACCTTCAAGAGCTCTAATGGTTCTAAGAACCCACAATTCTAAAACCATATAAGAGTTAATCTAAGCTGTTAACCTTTACTTCAGAAAAGGCATCAATATTTTCCTTCACAGAGAATATTAAAAAAAAAAAAGCTTGCCCACCATAGCAACAGTTACTAGGTAGGTACCTTATGTGTAGGATCCTAAAGCAAGCACTGAAATGCCACTCTTAGCAACATCTTGCGATACTGTGAATCTTTCACCCTCAAACTTTTTTTTTTAAAGGCTAACAATCTTTGATATCTAGACCATAGGAAAATGACTACTCAACAGAGAAATCTGTTAGAATCTACTCTCAGGAACACAAAATACAGGGAGAAAAACAATCACCCTGTATCCATAATCCAACTCAAATCTTTCTTTTAGTGGGAATTTTGTCTTAATAATCCTGGAGAAATTTCTTCCTTGTTTGCAAATCTAGTTTGGCTCACATTTCCCACTATTGAATGCAGTCAAGTAATAAAATGCTTTCTACTTTTGTAGCCTCATCTATCATAAGCGTTCAAAAGCAATATTAATTCACCCTAAATACTCCTGTGAAACAGAGATAGTAAACAACTTACTCAAGGTCATCCAGGAAACTAACTAATGACAGGCCAGGAACCAAAAACCTAGGATTTCTCATTTGAAACTTATTGTCAAAAGAAGGCTGAGTACTTATTCAATACTAGGTCAAGTCATACCAGTTAACTTGTGAACTGTGTGCTCATGTGCATATATGCATATTGCCTTGGGACCACAGTGCAAATGTAGTGGAAAGCATGTTGGGACTGGGAGTAAAGAAAACTGGATTCTAATCCCTGATCTGCCACTAACTAGCTATGGGACCTTGGGTCAGTCTCTCACTCATTTTCTTAAATCTATAAAACAAGGAAACTAAATAAGCTATCTAAGGTCTGTTAAGTTCTATAATTCTTTGCTTCTATGAAATTGTAAACAAAGAGAACATTATTCCCCTCCTCTCTCATTAAATATGTAAGACAGAAATCCACATGGAAAGACCCTTAAAGATTATCTAGTAGCAATGGTTCTTAACCTGAGGTCACTGAACTAGATTTTTAAAACATTCTGATAACTTTTATTTCAATTAAATTTGTTTCCTTTGTAATCCTACGTATTTTATTTTATGAATTTAAAAATCATTATTCTGGGGAGTCCATAGGCTTCACCACACTGCCAAAAATGTCCATCTCTACACTTTTCCCCACCCCCCACGAAAAATATTAAGAACACCTCATCTAGTAAAATGAGAAAACTAGGGCCTGAAGTAAAGTGACTTGCTGAAGGTCACAGCAACTTCTGACTCCCATTCCAAGTATTTTTTCAGTTAGTTACTTCCTCTCCTGCAGCCCATTTTACTCAAGCCCAGTCTCATCCATTTCAGATTCTTCTACTTTAAAAAACCCATTATTTATTTTACACTTGATTCTATAGAAGTTGGTTAAACTAAGACTAAAAGGCATTTCTCCAAACACTAAATACAACATTCTGCATAATTCAGCAGGTCTCAGGCCTGACTCTTAAACCTTGAAATGAAGGTGACCAATAAAATCCATGGACCTTTAAAGATAGGTAGCCTTGAGACCTCAAAGCAAATGATGTGGATGGAAGGAGTAGTAGGACCCTTCGAACAATTTCCAGAGGTCTACCAAACTGGAAAATAATATCACGGCACAGTCCTTATTTCTAAAAAGCATAAGCTTCCAAAAGGGTGATGCACTGAACTGTATACTTGATCTTGCTGATGACATATTTCTACTGGGCAATACAAATTAATGGGGACAAAATGACAATATCACTATAAGTTTCACGTTAAACATATAATTTTTTCCAGGAAGTCTATTATGGTAGACAGAATAAGAAAAAAACTTTCTGAAAGTTCTATCAAAACAGAACTAAACTTTTATTTTGCCACATGTTGATGGTCTTTCCACCTTTGAACTGTTATACAAACATCAAAGAGCAGAGACTATCTCATGCTAGCAGAACATTTAAGTGTCAAGAGGAAGTTTTCCCAATGCTACCCGAGCATCTGTGAGCCAGGCACCTCAGAAAAGTAATCCTTTGTTGCCTTTGTTCTTTAGAAAGTTATTCCCAACAAACTTTTTTTCAGCTCTTATCTACTAAAGACTTTAAGATGACTTCTCAAAGGAATTAATTCTTTAGTTTAAAAGAATATAAAAGGAAAAGGCAGGATATTAAGTTAAATGTTCAAACATGGAGACAAAAGTGAAAGCAAGCAAGGATTTATTAGGGAAGATAGTGGGTAGCAAAAGAAGAACTAAAAATATCCTTGTGTTGAGACAGTTAGTTACCAGCTGTTATCAGCCCCTAAGAAGCAACCATTGCCCATAAATGAATCCCTTCCTCAACTTTGGGCCTCTTTCTCTCCCCATCATCAGTCCTTTACTAAAAGAACCTAAACTAGTATTATCTGTGACCTTGGGTAAAATCCTCAGTGTCAATTTCTTCATCTGTAAAAGGGACTAGACTAGATTATTCCCAACATTTTAAATTCTATTATTTCAAAATTTTGTTTTTAAGGTAACTGTTCTAGTGTAATTTGACTCTTTACTCAGTTGATCAAACAGAAAACATAACAGGCAATTTGTTTTCCAAGTCAATATTTTACTACCCATCCCTGCCCCTCCCCCACAAAAGATTATGAAGCCAAATCACCAAAGTTGGAACAAGGCAAATCAATCCAGATAAGCTGAAGGTGGAATTCTGGAATGGAGAAAAGCAACAGCTACAAGTTCTTGGAGGTGTTTACAAGGACACCGAAGTCCAGGCCAAATTTTAACATTCAGCCCCAGCTCAGACTTGCTTGTCAAGTCAACTGACTTAAGATCAAACAGGTCATCCAGCAAGTAGAAAAAAACATTCGGAAGTCTTGGTTCTTCTCAGGTTCTTGGTCTCCAATTTTATCCAAATGTAGGCTAAACTTATTAATAACTATTAGTCCCATAAAATAAGGAAGCTAATCCCACTAAAAATATTCCCTATTTTTAATGTTTGGGCCACCTGTTTCTTTCACCTTTTCCCTTTTCTACAAAGCTATCTTTCCTAATACCCAAGAAAGCAACTTCATTGACTGGACGCTGTCCCCAAACACACAAGGGTACATCCTACATCCTATAGAAGCTCCTCCCTACTGTCTTAAATCCCATCGTTTTTCTAGTCAAGAAATTGCCGATCTTGTTCCATCCCCTCCCCCTACACACTCCACAAAACCTTAACTTAACCCCTATCCTCCACATGTTCATCAGTAACCACCTTTACAACTCTAACCTGATATAGTCCGAGGCCACCAGACCTACTCTGAATAGACCCCTTTCCCTTATCTTTCCGGGCCTAAACCCAGTCTCCAAACTACAACCCCACCCATCCTTCCTAGTACCTCCCCACCAGGGTCCTCTGCTCTCGATAGACCCCACCCTGGACTTCCCTCCAGCCTAATCCTCTGCTTTCGGGTGGGCATTAACCCCCCCCCGAGGTCCCCCTAGGAGCCCCCTCCCTTCTCCTCCACCTCCTGCAACACCACTCCCCCCGTCCCTCGTCAGCCGCCCCTCCCTCCCGCCCCACCCATGTCTCCTCCCCTTTCCTTCCAGGCTGTCCCCCTTCCCAGCCTCTCTACCTCGAGGGGCTCCCCAGCCCCCTCTTACCCCACCCCAACACACTTCCAGATCTCTCCTTTCCCTTTCCTGGAGACCTGCTCCCCGTTCCCCAGGATGTCCCCGCCCGCCGCCCCGGCCCCTGCTGGCCCCCCGAAAGACGGCCCCGAAGGCTGCTGGGGGCCCCCCAGAGCGGGGGGGGGCGGGAGAGTAGGGTTAAGGCGGCAGGCCTTCTAGGAGTAATTCGGAGAGGCCAGCTGAGCAGCAGATTTTGTTCCCCCAATCCGAACCCACACTCCCAACCCCCCCGCTTGCCCACTGCGCTTTACCTGTGGTGGTGGCGGCGGCGGCGGCGGCCGCTCTCCCCTCTCCTCACACAGACAATATGGCGGCGGCGGAGGAGGAGACACACGGCTGGGCCGCCAGCCGCAGGGACCAGAGCGAGGCTGCAGCCACCGCTGCCGGAAGCGGAACCCC